GTTTGCTATTCTTGTGAATTAGATTTTCAATTATCTCAGTTATCAAAAAGAGATTTAGTATTTTGGCTTTGGGAGAAATCCATTTTGAAATTTTAATTTCATTTATAATAATATCATAAAAAGCGTGCAGAATTTTTAAACATTGACCAAATCCATTTTTCTTCCCCCCCCCCAATAAACCGTACACAAACTAGAATTTTTGCATGAATTGTACAATTCTTTCTTGAAATGATTTGTGTTACTGCATATGTAATTCTACATATGTTTATCTCATTTGCACGTGGTAGAAAAATAATTAATTTTTTATCGGGCACTTTTCTAGCAGACGATCTGAAAAATGTGCTGGCAGTTTTGTTTAGTCTGCTGTCCATCATCAAACATTGTTCCATATCTTAATAAAAAATACAGGTAAAGCTTTGAAATTTTACAGATATGTTTTTAATGAGATTCGAGGTATCATATAAGCCAATAAAAAAATTTCGATAGTTGGTGATTTTTTGGGTCCCATGTCGCCTTTAACCCATTTAATTAATTGAATTACAATAGAAAATTATCATGTAAAGAATAATCCATCATTGTTGTGTGCTTTGGCTTTCCAAAGGAAGTGCACTCACGAAATTTTGGAATTTGAAAGAGTTTGCTTTAAAATATCTGGAAGTAAACAATGAACTGCCTGGTTAGTGATTGCTACTTAAGAATGAAGATTGGCTATGGGATTAAGCTTTTCTCATCGATATTGTGAGCATTTAAATAATTTAAATTTAAGATTACAGGGAAAAGAATGCGTGTTTCCTACCCTGGTTGATCATTTTTCTTCGTAAACAAACTTTTGCATTTTTTGTCTCTTTTTTGAAGATAAACATTAACACGTTTCACAACAATGCAGAAACTATCGACCAAAATTAATAATGCTCCGAGCTATAATAAATTTAAAAATTTAATATTTATTTTAAAGGATTCTTTTAGTGTTTGGTTGAATGATTTTCAAGATGATATAAAAATGTTGATCTTTTCATAAATCCTGTTTCAATTTCTCTACAAGACATTAATTGTTCCCGCCTGAAATCCAAATCGAAATTATTAACCTACTGAAACATACTAAACTGAAAATCAAAAACAAGGATCTTATTTCAACCCAAGTGATCCAAATTATACTGAATTTTGAAAATTTGAATCGACAGGCAATTTTCCAAATTTACACAAAATTTGGTTGTTAGATATTATTATAGTTTTGGATCGACACGTGTTTGAGAACAAATGTTTTCTATTACGAACATAACGAAAGCATAATATCGCTCAAAATTAACTGATAATAATATCTAATAAAATAACCTAACTTTGTTGACATCTTCAAGAAGCAATCCTAATACAGATAACTTAGTAAAAAAACTACAAACTCAAAAGCTACATGAAGCAAATACTGATTGTTGAATAATAAATTAAAATCAAATGCTTAAAGATACTCATTTTCTTAATGCCTAAAAAAGTTTATTAACAACAAAACCTAAGTATTTATTATATTTTTAAATTTTTACTTCTTAGACTTGAATGAAATATATTCTATTTGCGTAAAAATCCCATCAACCGATAAGAAACGTTTTTTCATCTTTTTATATCTTTTTGTTTGTTGAAAAAGTTGGAACTGGGCACACTTAACGATTTATCGTCAAATAGTGGCACTCTTACCAAGAAGGTTCGCCACCCCTGATTTATGTTATAGAAAAAAACATAATTTTAATTTAAGTCAAAATATCATCTAACCAAAATTAACTCTTTTTTTTTCATTTTTTCGAATATTTAACCTCTTTGTGGCAAAGTTAAATTTTGAAAGTATTTTTAAAAATCTTTTCTTTATTTTTCTCTTAAAATATCTTTTTCGCATTGGTAAGTTTCGATTTATAAAATTCTTTTTTATTCACATAACCGCTAACCACCCTAATTAGTGCTGTTTAATTTTTATTAATGGGTTTTCTCATACTCACATTGTAACTATGTCTTGTCAAAATTTAAAGAGTTTTTTTCTCACCTTTTAAAGCGCTCAATCTAGCTGAAATTTTTTATTCGCGATTGTTTTGGATGCCAATACTATAATTTAATTATAATCAATACAAAATAATTGATTAAAATTTATTATTTAAAGAATCAAATTTTACTCATAATTCCTATTTTTTACAGCGTGAAACAGTTGAATATTGAAACAAGCAAATTAAACTATCCCCTCGTAAAAATAAATCATTAGAACTAATTATTGAATGAATTCAATTTGTCTCATTACTCTCTTTCTCTCCTAAAATTTTAGGTATAAAAAATTATGTCACGCAAAATGTGAAGTTTGAAAGGAAACCCATGTTTATATTAAAAAAAAACTCGTTTTTTAACGGTGTTATTTTAAAAAAAATGGTGAAATCGTGATATTTTTATTGCATTGTACCCGAGACTGCAATTTATACTGTTCCACTCATGGTTATGTACATAATTATAAGAAGACTTAGAAATCGAGTTAGATCAAAAACATTTTTGAAAAAATGAGAGCTTAAAACTTCTTTGAGCAGTGTGACTTCAAATTCGCGTTACAAAGCATGTAAAAAAAAACTTTAAAATTTAGAGAATCGGTTTAAACTGAATCATAGGCAAAATTTTAACACACAGCATTTCTTTTATCAAATATCCCGTCAATAATAAAATCCTAAAAATTATGATTTTCAGAAAATTATTAAAGAAAAGGTATTGAAGAAATTATTAACACACACACACAATTATGTTTTCTTTTTTTCTTTCTTTTTTTTTCTTTCGCGAGAGGTTCCTCCTGCATTTCGTCTAGACAGAAATTTGAATATCCCATTAGGAATCAAAATAGTGAGCTCTTAAAAATCTCCATGTGTTGACTCAACGTGCAAATAACGAAATGTGTCATACATCGATGCAAATATGTCCGTGACCATGAAAACCGCTGAAGGATTACACCGAACTATCCTGTTCAAACAAAGTGAGAAGTGTCTACACTATTTTTATAGCTTTTTTTTTAGCCGTAAACTTAATTCAAGCGTAGTGTGCAAGTTTTTTTCTCCTAAATTTACAAAAAAAAAAGTATTCTTAAAAAATATTTTCTTACTGAAATGAATCAGAGAACATTAATGTATCATCTATATCAGGAGTGGGCAGACTTTTCCAGGGTACGCGGGCTACTTCTAATCTTGTTAAGGTGTTGCGGTAAACCCAGTAGCGTAGATGATGCCAATCTGATTAAAATTGCATGTTTTCTTTTCTTAACACTTATTTTCGACATTGTACTCCTTTTTTGAAATATGATAGATAACTGCTAGACGGCGGAGTATTCAATGCAGCGTGCAGAGAATATACGTGAACCGATAAATCCTGAAACCAACGTATGTACTTAATTTGTTCACTTCGGTGTCCCACGCCATCGCAGGACACGAGAACTCAATCCCGTTGAAGCGTGGGGGTGTGGGATTATGCCTCAATAGCCAATCCCGTGCTATCGCTGAGGTATGATCATCAACATTTATTCTTTCTTCCCTTCAGTCGGTGTGTGGGGAAAGCTTCACTTCCACGGCTGGTCTCGCAGTGGTCACTTACAGCTACAGTAAAAGTGTTAAACGTCATCGTGTGCTTCCAGGGAAGATACATGTGTCATCTACTCATTTATCTAATTATTTGCTTAAGTAAACCCAGTTGAATCAATTGTGAAATGTCGATTCCCCTGTCTAGTTGGCATCTGTGTTTCAGAAATATTTTCCTCTCAGGATGTGCGCCTTAGGTCTTAGTAAAGGCGGTCACCGCAAAATGTCATGGTGGTCCACCGGTCGATCGCGATCGATTTAATGCTTATCCCTGATCTACAATTACCAATTTTTTAAGTAGAGTCGCTCTAGAACTACACAATTAATTACTGACGACGACCTTGTGGTTTTATATTTACTATTAAACAACATGACGAGCACACTTGAAGTCTAGTTGGCAGAGTTCCGGAATCGATGAGCATCAGGCGTTGCATGGTCTCGTTATGATACTGTGTTGTTTCTAATGCCACCCGATCGCTATTGTCAGATCAATGCCCACGAACTCATCGTGTCAGAGGATTATAAATTACGTCTGTCATTTGCGAGCTGTTTTGGGCAGCATAAAGTTGACAGTACGTTTTGGCCCCATTCCACCCCAATTTCGAGGGTGAACATCTGAGGGAGGTAGTTAGCGGGTATCCCCTCTCTCTTTCCTCACCTCCAATCTCTCGAGATGACTTTTGGCTCGACGAATATTTTACCACACAGTTACCACACTGTCGGTTCCTGCTTCCCTCTTCCCTTGTCTACTCTCGGACCCGGCTAGATGTGTGGGAGGAACTGAATAATTAGTAGACAAGATTCACTCTGATTATTTTATTGTAACTAAAATATCAAGCAAGCACAATAATAATCTAATTAAGATAAATGATCAGATAGCAGAGTGTGAAGGTGAGACTCGTTAGTCTGGGGATAATAATACGGACCCTCAACTGATTCCTCAATAACTTAACGAGCTCAATATAAACTACGTCGTGCACTAATTCGCTAAACTTCTATTTAAACAAGAATCACGATACCTGTACTTTTATGAAGTTGAGTCCTCCAGTTGAGGGCTTGAATGCAATCCTTATCCGGATTTAATCAACGTCAAGTAATACTCTGTTAGACTTCTTCAATTGATAAACTCAGATTTGCACTTAATAATTTCACGATCCTCCACTCACCAACTAACTCCAAAAACTCTAATACAGAATTTATATAATATACTTAATTTGCATAATCACGTTTCCTTACTTCGGTGAAAGTTGGTTGGTAATATCATTGTCCCAGAAAAGTATCCAAGGGGTTAATTATAGACGCGTATTGATCCGTCACAACTATACAAACACCTATGCCTTCTCTGGGATTCGAACCCAGGCCCTATGGCTCATCAAACAGCGTCACTAACCACGATACCATTTGGGTGGCATTTAAAATACCAAGTGGTCACCCACCCAAGTACTAATTGTGCCCATTGATGCTTAACTTTAATGATCGGACGAGGGCCGAGGTTTTTAGCATGCTACGGCTAAATACCGTCGTGTAGTAAGGGCTGCTGCACATTGAATCTAGCGTAGTTGGCAAACCATGAGTGTAAGGAATTTAGAGCCACCACCGATACCAACCTCGTTATCATATTGTAATTCTGATCTACGAAGGGCCACTACCGATATCAACCTCGTCATCATATAGTAATCCTGATCTACGAAGAGCCAGCCACCACCGATATCAACCTCGTCATCATATTGTAATTCTGATCTACGAAGGGCAAAAAGTAGATCTTTGAGTCATGTAAAAAACTCCACAAATAGAAATCCGAGCTAAGATCTAGCTCTTTTAATGTGACCGTGATAGCCAAGATGTCATGTCACAGAGCTCATGGCCGATGATATTTCAATTAAGCCTTGTATTTCAGTTCTGGTTCCCATTGGGTAGGGAAGCTGATGCAAGATTAACATATAGGAGCCCAAAATTTTTATTCTAGTATGTCGTGGATGTGTAGAATGGATTGCCACTTCAAGTGTCTGTACCAGGGGTGGCCAACCTTTTTGGTAAGAGTGCCACTATTTGATAATAAATCATTATGCGTGCCACTTCCAGCAAACAAAAGAATATAAAAAAAGTGAAAAAATGTTGCTTGTTGGCTGATGGAATTTTTATACAAGTAGCATATTTTTCTGTACAGGTCGGAGTAGTGAAAATTTGAAAATAATATAACAAATACTTAGTTTTTATTGTTTTAATAAACTTTTTATTTTATTTTTATAAACTTTTTAAAAAAAAATAAAAATGAGTAACTTTAAACATTTAATTCTAATTTATTGTTAAGCAGTCAGTACTTGCTTAACGTGGCTTTTGAATTTTTTTGTAGTTGTTTTATCAAATCCTTCTATATTAGGATTAGTTCTTCATGATGTTAATAAAATTAAGTTGTTTTCTCTTCTCTCTCTCAGTGTAGATTAGCTAATTTTGAATAAAAAATAGAATAAGTAATAGAATTTGTAGTCGAATATATTTGTTCACAAACAAATGTTGATTTAAATCTACAACAATATCTGACAGGCATATCGTGTAAATTTGGAAAATTGCCTGTCGGATCAAATTTTCAACATTCAATATATAATTTGGATCACTTGAGTTGGAATAAGTTCTTTGTACTTGCTTTTCAGTCTAGTAAGGTGCAGTAGGTTAATAATTTTGATTTGGATTTCAGATGGGTAATAATTAACGTCTTGTAGAGAAATTGAAACAGGATTTATGAAAAGATCAGCAATTTCTAAATCCTCTTGAAAATTACCCAACGTAGCACTGAATAATACCTTTCAAATTAATATTAAATTTTTAAATCTGTTATAGCTCAGACCATTAATAATCCAATTAGGAACGGTGATCAGTATGCAGAGCTTGAAGGTGAGACCCGTTAGCCTGTGGATAATATTACGGATCCTCAACTGATTTCACCATAACCTACACAAGCTCAATTTCAACTCCACCGTGCTCTAATAAGTTGCTCTTTAAATTCTATATAAATAAGGATCACGATACCTGTACTCTTGTTAGGTCCTACTCTTGAGGCCTTGAACGGTAATCTTTAACTGGATTCAATCACCTCCGAGTGATCCTCTCTTGGAAATTTTCAATTGATACTCAGATTTGCACTTAATAAATTCACGATCCTCCACTCACCATCTAACTCCAAAACTCGCGAATACAGAATTTATATAATATACTTAATTTGCATGATCACGTTTTCTTCCTTCGGTGAAAGTTGGTTGGCCAAAATATTTCCCCAGAAGAGTCCCCAAGAGATTAGTTATAGACGCGTATAGATCCGTCTCAACTGCACCGCTGAAAAAGTTTTCAATACCAAACTAATTGGCACACGGAGCAAAGCAGGTCAAATCTAAGATGGATTGATGGCCTAGCAAAAGACCTCCTAGTTTTGAGAACTAAAAATTGGAGAACAATATCAGGAAGAAGGCTGAGCTGGAAAAGGCTTCTTGAGAAGGCCAAGGTCCATCCTGGGCTCTCGAGCCACTGAGGAAGGAAGGATGATAAAATATGCTGCTATCTCTAGAATATCGAGGCCAGAATATAATATTAATGTTTGAGCTATTTTATATCTGACAAATATTCCGAATTTGTGTCCTGATCCTTAATACTACGCGAAGACATTCTTAAGCTAAACGATAAGAATTTGGAGTTCAAGAGAAAGAGAGTTTTTTACGTCACATTATAAGGCAACACGAGGGCTATTGGCTACGGACCTGGTAACTTTGAGCCTCAAGTGACACCTGAGCTGGCACCCCCTCTTTAAACTACCAAACGGGAGGACTTTGCTTGACAGATTTAAAGTGCTTCAGCCCCGCTCTACACAGCGGGTCTTCAGTAAACCAGAGCTCGAACACGCGGCACACTGCCAAGAATTCGTGAACATAACTACTAAGCTACCACGACCTTTATTTCGACCTGAAAAGCAATTCTATACATCACTTTGAATGATAGATTCAAGATTATTCCAAAGATTTTTTCCAACAATATCAATCCGAAAATTGTGATTAAATTCAGACTAAATTAAAAAATTCCTTTAATTTTCTATCAGTTTGAAAATTATTAAATTTATCGCACATTGAAAAAAATTCAGGCTTATGTATAGATTGATGATGGAATCAATTAGTGTCACATGCTAACTTGTTATTTGTCCAGATGAGAGAGAATCGACGTAAAGAAATGAGCAAGAGTGTAAAATGTAATTTTATTACACTCTATCTGAAGCGTAAGCTAATTTGGAAAATAAAAACGAATTGCTGTTGTATGAATCAGAAGTCATAGTTATTTAAAGGTTCTTCTACTGCGCGTTATTGTATTCCGTGAAAAATAAGTTGTCACTTTATCCTTGAATAAAACTACGCTTCTTCTCTCTAAAATGCGTAGTATATTCGCGTTTATTGCAGAATTATTTATATAACTTAAGTAATCGGAAGCTTGCTTTCATATTCATGAAGTATTCGAGTCTATAAAAATTTTAGATAGATGCTATAAATAAATGTAACAAGGAAAAGAGCTGATAAAATTTTGGTACATGAACTGAATAATAATACATCCATATTGATACTTAGTTTTTAAATATATTTCATATTTAAGAATTTTTTTCTCTATTGGGGCTGCGTATTGGTATTTTTACCTTTAAAGACCTAGTTCATTCCCCAGGAGTTAGTATCACTTTTAGTGCGGCTTCATATAGGCGATACCAATTACTGCAAATAATTTGGACTCCCAGTTTCCTTCCCAGAGGGCGGTATATGAGCTCTGATGATGCGAAATTGAACTTAGGAATTTAATTTTGCCGAGAGCACCCAAGCCAAATGGGTACTTCAATGAATTTTTTACAAGCCGCATAATCATACGAGATGGCAGCTGTCGATTTTTTGCATCACGAAAATCCACCGACTTGAGTCAGGGTCGAACCCGCAACCTTAGGTGCAGAAAGTCAGTGACAAACCAACTACTTCACCCAGTCGTCATTTAAGAAATTGAAAAGCTGATAAAAAGAAAATTATTGAATAAAGCTTTTGTTGTAGTTTTGGGATTATTACAAGCACACAAAACGCCTAAGGTTGGATAATTGATTGATGTGTCAATTGATGGATAATCGAGAGATAGTGTCATTGTGATGTAATTATTTGGCGGTCTGGTGTATCTTTCTGTGGGCATCTTTCGCGATACAATCTTTCTGTTGCTCGTGCATTTCCTTCTGCCAATCCGTAAATAAGGTCCAGATCTGCCAGCTAGGTGTTCGTAAAACAGTTCCATGCGGGCGATGGCAGCTCCGTAATGCATGTCAGTCTCCTAAAATGCTCTTGTGAACAACACTACCTAGCGATGAACGAAGACGCTTCCGACTATGGTTTACTATGCAAATCTGAATTCGGGATGTCCCCTAACTCTCCCTTACAATTTGTCCCAAAAATCCCATTCTGTATATGTAATAATTCACTTAAATTTCCTCTCAAGGTATTTTATTTAATTCATAATCACCTTGAGCCCCCTAAGACTTTGCGTGATAATTTATTTTTAGTTAGCCCGCCTAACAGGAAATAACCACAACTTTATCTTCTAAGAAACTGCCACGCTCACGTTTTTAAAAACAAGATGCAATCTTGCCTCATCTGCGTATTCTGACCAATCACGAAAGACTTTGTCCGCTGAGATCTCCAGAGCTATCGAGGAATACTTTTGCGTAACGTTTTCAATGTGTATTCATTTGTGTTGTTCGTTTTCAGTGTGTTGAATAAAATGAGTATTTTAAAATAGCAACATGTTTCCTCATGAACCCAGCAACAATCAAATTGTTTCCACTAGCAGAATGTGTGATAATGGTCGGTTCCTTCTTACATTTTTTCTGAACCCTCTTGTCTACTTGTAAACCCTGCGGCTAGGTGTGTGAGAGAAACTGAATGATCCACAGACATGATTTCAATCTAATTAATTTCTTGTTACCCAATATCAATCAGACACAAAACAAATCTAATTAAGGTAAATGATTAAATAGTAGAGCGTGGAGGTGAGATTCTATAACATCGGGATACTACTACAGATCCTCAACTGATTCTAAGATAGCTTAAATACGCTCAAATATAACTACGTCGCACACTAATGAGCTAACTTCTACTTAATCAAGCTCACAATACCTGTACTTTTTATGCATCGGATCCTACACTGGAAACTTGCAGGTGAACTCTCTCGGCTTGATCAATGTCGTGGGATCCACACTCTGTAATCTTTTTCCTGGACAACTCCAAGACCTCTAACTAATTCCACTCTCTTTCAATCTTCAACTAACAGCTAACGCGCAGACTCTATGTTAACTCCTACTTGCCAACTCATGAACTCGCGAAAACAGAATTTATATAATATTCTTCATTTACATAATCCCGCTTCCTTATTAGGTGAAAGTTGGTTGCAATAAATATTTTCCTAAAAGAGTCATGAAGGGATTATTAGAGCCGCGTATAGATCCGTCACAAAT